CTTAATTTAATTAACCACTAAATGTCAGAAGATTTTTGCAAAATATTGCATCTTAATAATAATAATCGAATAATGCTCAATGGTTTTTTTTTCGCATCTATACTGTTTTGATTGAAAACGTTCGCTTTAGTTGTTTGAGCTTTTAGAGATCAAATTGCGGGATACAATTCGATAATGAGACCAGAAAGTAGCATCGGCCATTCGGCTGCGTTGAGGTTTCTTGCAGATTTAAACGAAGTGTCGAAATCAGTGAAAAGATAAAATGCAGTGTATTCAGAGTGAGACTCAACAATATGTTTCATGACATCAGCCAGAATTTAGAGGTTAACAAACAAGATTGGAGCAAACCCCATCTCCTATGGGATATTCGCTATTCTATGTTTGGATCAATTGCTTACTTGATTAATACGTCATATCAGTGTGCTTGTTTCGCTGATGGAAACGAATTCATTTCACTCATCGCGTTCTCCGTTTAAGCTTCAGATATATTACGACTTATAATTATCAGTATTTCTTTATTATTATCTTTTGAAAATTTTATCGTTAATATTATTAATGTTATCATCGGTATTACTACTCTTATTGTTATTAATTTATTGTTAAAATTATCATCATTGTTATTGCCATTATTTTTTAAAATTATTCTTATTATTACTGTTGTTATTATTGTTATCGTTACTATCATTTTCATTGCTACTATTATTACTATCACAGTCATTATTCTGAATCATATTCAGAGTGCCTTTACTTCTGTCACATTCGGATCCGTGATAGATCACGTACTCAACTCCTGTCAGTATCTTATCGAAGGAAAATGATAGATGGATATTTTTAAGCGTACATTCGAAAACTTAAGAATGTTCATCTCAATGTTTGTTAGCGTTAGTCCATTATCGTTATCTACTGCAACATTCCCATTTTCGTCACTGCACTGATTCAACTGAAATAATAACTAAATATCCATAAATTATACCGAATTCAGGCACTAAGAAATTAAACAGATTTTATGATTGCTGATAAAATCCACCTTTGATTATGATTATAGTACTATAAGATAGACACTGATTCCATTAATTCCATTGATTCAATCTTATAATATAAATGGTTTCAAACTACATATTCTTAACTATTATATGAGATAAATAAATCAGATCTTTTAAGTGAAGAAACACATGAGTTAACATTTGGAGTGCAAATTTTTAGCAGAAGCAGAAATGAGAGTGAATCAGTGATGTGGCTGAAGTGAACGAGAAAAATATCACAATAGAACAGAGCGATAGCGCACTTAGCAAAATAAGGTACGAGAGTGGCGAGACATCGTATGAATTACACATAAAAATTAATCATGATAGACCATGAGAACTTCCGATAACACATTATTCATCACGTATTCATTTTCAATTGCCACTATTATAAGTCTATTCCAACTAGAATCTTAATTGCCAATCGATAGTATGATGAGTTTGCAAGGAAACACCACATCCTGAAGATATTTCGCATGCATCGAACTCGTTATAGCGAAATTTGAATTGTTTGTGCGGTGATCGTTTCATCGTAATCTTGCACTGGTGATGGATGTTGTTGCTCAGCTATCGTATTTTGAAATGCGCTCATTTCAATTGGCCGTCTTCGTCTTCTCACTTACAAATGATGATGTTCAGAAGGATCGCACGCTAACAATAAATGTTTGACAGCGGTTTTGTATTGCAATGGATGTAGTGTTGAGATGTTCACATCCTTATCGCCATAATGAACCATTACGGTTATCAGTTGGTACGTTCGTCAGAACCAAATACTTCAGAACATCTTTCAACTAGTTGTGGTTAGTGAAGCACTTTCATTCGCTTTTTCATATTTTGACTCTGACAATATTAATGAGACTGAAACTCCATGTAAGATTGTTTGATCAACCCAGTGATAATCTTAATAACAATCTCATCTTATTTTATTTCCATGTATATGAATCAACTCCAGTGCGATTCTCTTGCAGCATTCGTTCACCATAAACTATTGGGCTTGCATATGAGCATAAGTTAAGAAATGAACGACTATTCGTGAATGATTATCGTCATCTTCGGTCGTGACAAGTGAAGAGGATGTAATGAGTTCAGACATAAACGTATTGAAATTTAGATGTTGTTTTAATGAAATTGATAAATTAGCACAAAAACAAACGCAAATAAACAAAACATCTTATTGTTGTTGTTATTGCTGTTGTGTTATGCATTCCATGCGAGTGCGCAGATGGCAAGTTGGTAGTAATCGAAATTGAAAGCTCTGCTGCGTTTAATTCCACTTTGCATCTTCCGACAATGATATCGTCAACATCAAAACATTTTCGTTACAAATTACGAAATATTACTGAATTGAGCCGTCCGTCCTTATTTTGCAAACTTTTTTTCTCGCAGCAACACAAATTTCATCGATTCCATCAACACCAAAAATAATGGCGGATTTTAACAGCAACAGAAACAACAACCAAAAGAACATCATCAACAACAAAAAATAACGCACGCTATGCAGATTGAAATGTTATCTCCCGATCGGTAGGGACGAGTCTACCTGCAGTTGTATCGATTAGTAGTGCCGCGTCTTAATCTGATATCCCGAGAGAATCTTTCAGTTATCTAACACGTGCATATCCTTGCGATATCCTCATATAAATGCAACACTATGACCATTAGCTAGATGCTCATTTGTAAGTCTATACATCAATAAGCAGTACAATTACTATGTGTCGTTTTTCGTTTTGGAAAAGATTATGTTGGAGTGGTAAACAATTCAATGGAATTGCGCGCAAATGCGCATGAATATAAGTCATAAATCTTGTTAAAACCAAGCTAAACTTACACGACATAGTTTTTTGTTTTTTGCTATACACGATATTTTTGTGATCCTTTGAAAGTACATTTTGAAATAATCGCAGTTGATGGATTGATACAGTGACATTGACATTTATTTTGTTTTTTGAGTGAATCCTTTCGGATGTCCGCAACATTTTAAAAGTATTCCTGAAACGAGAGTGCGTCTTATGAACTTTTGAAGAATCCTGAATTCGTCAATGTTTGTGAAACGATTCCATTGATTAATTCAGTGGTCTGAATGTTCAATGAACATAAATTGACCGTTCAGACCACCGGATAGATGGATGATCGAAGCAAAGCTATGCCTGTTATCCTCACTCACCAGTTGATGACAATATAATTTGCCGTCATGTTAAGATGCAGTCGTATTTGCAGAAGTGTTATCAAGACCGAACAGTGACTATAATGAAGCGCAAAAAGTCAACCATCTCAGTCCGTACCTTTCGGACGATAGTATCGGTGAGCTGGAACAATACGAACTTGAGGATCACGTTTCTGATATTCCGCAATCTTTCGCTCGACGCAATCGAAGGGTATTCAAATGCACTCGGATCATTTTCACTCATTCAATTCCCTTCAGTCTCATTCCACTAAACTCATTGATCATGACTCCTAATCTTCTGTTCATATTTGCATTGTGATCACTTCTAACGTTTAAAAGTTTCCGAGAAATCTCGAATTGATTTGTCCGCATTCAATTGAGATCAAATCGGTCGACTAATTTGCTGTAAAACGATAATGATGAGTTCAGGATGCAGCCCTTTTTACACCCCCAATATGTCAATATGAATCAGATGATACTGGCTGGGATCATGCCGATATGCTCAATATGCCTGATAAGGTGAACGATTGATGTTTTTTTAAAATCATAAGTGTAATTTTTTTAAAATCTTAAGTGTAAATGAAAAGTAATGAACTGCCTGAAGTTATTATAGCATTTTATGTGTTGAGGCTATTCCGAGAGTTAGTTTGAATTGAAAACTGAAAAAAGCGACGAAAAAATACCAGACAACTTAATCAAGTGAAATGAGGATGAATGAGATAAGGAATGGCGAGTGTAAATTTATAAAAAAAAAAGAAGTTATTGATGAGCTCAGATCGTTTTACAGCAGAGCGGATACACAGATGAGTCATCGCAAAGTGATCAGTGCTCTAAAGAGTCCGATGAAGAAAGTAAGCGACGAAAGGGTCTTAAAAAGGTTCCTGTATAATATTCTAGCAATTTCTCGTTCTCATTAAAATTGACGACATCGACAGTAATACTGATATTTGTTGATTATATTGAACGGTTAAAACGTCTACGAGGAGATATAGCTATTTTCCTGATAATGTAGGGGTTAGCAC